TTCTATTATTGAGGTATCATGGTGGTAACCATCTACTATTTTTGTAGATTTTGTCATATTCCTGTATCGGAAGTGTATACCAATATTGTATTCATGCTTCAGAATTTAGAACATTGGATAACTGATTGGTTGGAATCATAGTAGTCAAAGAAAGCCATTATGTGAGACATAATGAGTAAAAGAAATATGTTCAATGTAAACAAACTAATTGCTATATGTGTACAGATTTCATGAAGTTGAGCTACCTTCCAATGATGAGGATGAAAATCTTTCTTGATGGAAATGGATACTCACCAATGAACAGCTACAATTTGTAGTCACTCAATTAGCTTTAATCTTAACCAGTTGGATAGAACCTACTTCTCGTGGAATTTGGAATCTGACAAGGTGGCTCCTTTTGGATCTCCAGTAACCCCCTGGTGACAAAATGTTCAAGTGGGAGTTGTAGAAGAGAGGCTTGAAGAAGTAGCCCTGTCATTTTCTTTTTCCTGTTTGATTTGTTTGTGTTAGAAAGAGTAAGAAAACAAGGTGCTGATGGAATTTAAATCTACTTATATGATTCTTCCTACAGTTTATGTGTCACAACTTTGTAAAGATTACTATTTCTGTTCATTACTTTTCATTTTGTGGTTAAATGTTGTATCTTTATGTAGGATATGAATCTCTGTTACTGCCATCATGTGTTTATCTTTTTCTTTCCTGATTTTTAGCACTTCTTAACATGATTGAGGCTCCTCTATCTTGGCTCCACTATACTTGGTGCTATTGATTAGCAGTGTTTCAATTGTATTAGGACAATGTTTATTGGATGCAGATCTCCTCTATTACGTTTTCACTGTGTGGCTGTCAAAAGTCGTTATCTAAGGAGTTCAGGTTACCATGGTGGTGACCCCTTTGCTAAGAATGAGTTGTCTTGTTTGTTAATGGCCCGGCCTAACTGGTATTTTGATCAGCATTTGGGTGTATTATATTGCATTTTGAAAATGAAGCTCCATAGGTTGTGCTCCATACTGCCCTAGTAGACAACAGGACACATGCTTTAATAATAATCAACTTGGTACTGTATAGAACATAAGCTTAAGCCTATGGACCGTTGAAGCAAGATTGGGAATTGCTGGGAGCCAGCCAATGGGTTGAATCGACGACAAAAGCTCTCAGAACATATAACGACTAGGACCAACATTAAGTTATGTTGTATTAAGTTTAATAGTGCTTATATTTCATTTGTAGTCTGATTTATGTTGTATGTACTCGTGTTCATCTTAGTTTATATCATTTTGCCGGGTTTGTATCGATTTTTTAGAGTTAAATTCCAATCTAGTAAAATTCTGCAACTAGTGTCGTGTTGCATATGTGAATTGTGCCTAGAGTTGTAATAACTCATTAATAATACAAATTCAGTGGTTCTTTGTTCTTTGAAGCATAGGTTGGTATGCTCCAATGGGTATTTGGGCTTGGTATGCTATGACCAACCACGAGCACCTTTGAGGACAAGCTAGAGAAACATTTTCACTCATTCGTTGTTTCAATTCGTCGGTCATCAGTGTCACTAGGTTTTGTGAAGAAATCGCCCACTTGGTTGAGGAACTCCACCGAGAATTGGCTGTGCATGTAACTGAGTGGCTCACTGGGCGACAAATTGGCTCATTAGCGATCATAAGTAGGGATGTCTATGAGCCAAGTTATTCACGGGTTTCATTACCTGGCCCGAAGTCCGATAGACCCGATAGTTGGCCCGTCCAAGCCCGAGTCCAATATCTCTTAAAAGAGGTCTTGAATTTGTCCCTAAACACATTACTCGGCCCAAAACCCTGTCCGTCAAGCCCAGCCCAACCTACCTACTTTTTTTTTGAAAAAAAATTATACTTTTAGACCATTAAATTTGAAACTTTGAAATAAGTCTCTCAATATCGAAATTTGAAGTTTTAAAAATTTAGATATTATAAATAATGTATTATTTTTTTTTCGTGTATTAAGCATATAAGTTTTAAATGGTAGAGTAATACAAATGATAGATAAGTTAGTAGATGTCCGTGTCAACATAGTTGAGATTTATTCATTTTATTAGATGTAGTTCATTATTTTATTTTTATCCATTTTAAATTTACTTTTGATTCAAAAATATAATTTACACAAATATTAAGATGCAAAAATATTCATTATTTTTAAATAAAAATATATATAAAAAAGCCCCACAACACAGTCCCGCCCACAAGCCTGCCCACAAGCCCGTTTAATAGGGCCACGGGTTGGGCTGTGGCCTGCAGATAGCCTACCCCTACCCGAAGTTCGGCCCGATCCGTTCGATAACTCACTTGGGTAAGGGCTTGGGCCTATACTACCCAGGCTCAGCCCGAAAAGAATTTAGCGGGCCTAGCCCGGTCCGGACCATAGACACCCATAATCATCAGTATCATTGAGGAAAAGAAAAAAGATAAGAAAGTGTGGTGCTTTTTAATGTCCCCCACATTTATATAATAGGGTCTTTTAGAAGTCGGTACACTAAATTAAACATAATTATAAAAAAGTATACAAAAAAAAAATGTGTTGTGAAGAAGTATATTGCTGAGATACAAAGACTTTAACTATCCATTTTCTAATATTTACTTTCTTAAAAAACGGTTTTAAGAATATATCTTAACATTAATTATGTACACAGGCTTAATCATTAGATTTTAAGAACATTACTTTCTTAAAAACGGTTTTAGGAATATATCTGAAAATTAATTACAGCTTCAAGAATATATCTTAAAAATAATTAGGTACACAGTGATAAGGTTTAACCACTGATTTTTAAGAACATTAATTCACCAAAGTTAACATTTCTTCTTCCTATCTAAAAACTTTTTCATCTTCCTCGGCGAGAAGCCCTAAATCGTCCTCTGAATATCCACAGGGTTTCGCATTTGAAAGGAAAATACTACTGGTCTGCCATTGTAGATATAAATTTGTCCGTATTTTTCGTATAGTATAACAAAGATAGTGTAACAATACAATGTAATTAGTGTTATCAGAATTGGATCGGACTAGCCGGTCAAACCGATTAAAGAGTGAATCGGAGCCTAGACTGATTCGATTCTTGAGTTGGACTGTATAGGCATGGGGAGTGTTTTTAAACCATTAAACTGGGCGATTTTTATGAAAACCGGTGAACTGGCGATTTGATTGAACATATACCCAATTTGCTAAAACCTTGGGGAGAGGGAGAGGGAGAGGGAGAGAGAGGAGATGGTTTCTGGTGGAGCAATGTTATCATATGAAGGAGCTAACGGTTCTCTCATGCGAAGATTTACATAAAGGAAGACAGTATTGAAAAAAATCTCTCTTTTTTAGGGCATTTTTGCCCTAATCTGATTCAATTCCAGTCGATCCTCCAAGCAGCGGTCCTCCCAAAGCTACAACTCAAGCGAGTGGCGATGGCCCCGGCGAACACTCAGGTGATCTCCTCTCTTGAGTTGTGACGGCTCAAGCGATTTTCCTCTTGAGTGGAGATGGCTCAGGCAACTGATTTATCCTTACTTCTTGAATGGGAAGTCTCTCTCTCATAAAGGGATCACCTCATTTCTTCTCTTCTCTTCTCTTCACTCTTTCTCACATCTTTTGCAACGACACGGAAGATGAGAGAGTATAGTGTACACCATAGTTGTTGGGTCCCTTTTCTCAAATAGTTTTTGGAGTTTTCTTTTTTTGCCTTATTTACTCTCTTGCCCCTTTCTAATTTGTTCCAAAGAATATTTGATAGAAAATAGAATAAATAAATTAGAGTGAAAATATTTTATATTTTTTTAAGGTAAATTACTTATGTTTTATAATTTTTAATTATACTTCCGGTTCGACTAGTTGACCCAACGATTGAACCATTGATCCGATCTTTTTGCCGGTTTGATGCTCAGTCCGATTCTGATAATATTGAGTGTAACACTATAATATAGACATTGTTCAGTAATTTTGTAGATGTGGTAACAAATTCAAAATAGAGCTGGACTGTATAAGTTAAATTTTACAATATTATTGTTACATTGTAAATGTATATATAGGATGAACTTTGGTTATGATGTTCGCATATAAAAAAAATAATCACTAATGTTATTAGGACATAATTTATGGACACAATTTAGAAACATAATGAGTTGTCACCAATGAAATGATAGTGAAATGCATTTAATGATGGGTCTCATTGTAGCATTAATGAATTTAATATCATATCATTGGTGACAACTCATTATGTCATCAAATTATGTCTCAATAGCATTACTCAAAAATAATATAATTATCTTTAAAATGACATACATAAATCTAATAGAATCATAAATTCAAACCTTATAATTGTTTAGTTTGAATGATAAACATGAAAATAAATGTTTCGGACATGTATTGATAAATTGCTTCCAGGCCGAAGAAGAAGAAGACAACAAATGATATTGTTGAAAAATTTAAAATTCAAATCAACTGATTTATTCCCCAAATAACGGAAGGTCAAATCTTTCATTAAATTAGGAGATTTTTAATACATAAATATAATTTGAAAAAAAAAATAGTTTTCAAAAATAATCGCATGATTTAAGGGAGGATACAAATGCCAAAGAAAAATATTAAAATTTCAAATTATATACTTGTACACAATTAAGATCTAAAATTAATAATTTCTTTACTTTACATTTTTTTCTGTATATCTTTTTATAATTAAATCTAATTTAGAGTACGCTTTTCTAATTTACTGTGTACAATATAGTACAGGACCAATACTATGTACGGTAGCTGGGCCTCAATATATAGCAAACAAGGCCAGGCCCTGGCCCATTACGTACATCCCAGATCAACAGTTTACAAAACGAAAAAATAAATAGAAAAATGAATAAGAAATTAATTTAAAAAACCCATTATGCCCCTAAAACCCTAACCCCTTCCCCAAGCTCTCTCATAAACCCTTTTCTTTCTCTGTCTCTGCTCTCTGTCTCTCTCATTTTTTCGCTGGTGATCGGCTTCCGTCAGGTACACGATCTTCATCTTCTTCTTCTCTCTCTCTCTCATTCTTTGGCTGTGTAACTCTCAGAAATTGGGGAAAATGAATTTCAAGAACGTGAAGATTCCAAATGTTCCGGGTGGTGGTGCGGCTTCTGCTTTGATCAAGTTTGGAGCAATTGCTGGGCTTGGCATATACGGAGCTGCTAACAGTCTCTACAATGTTGATGGAGGAAATCGAGCTATTGTCTTCAACCGTATTATTGGCGTCAAAGATAAGGTTATTATCTTGATTTTCACAATTTACGCTATACATTTTGTCATTTAGTTTTATTTCTTTATGTATCCTTCCACGGTAATTTACCCCTTTTGTTTTACTTGAAGGAGAAGTACTGAGCTGGCTAGTGTAATGTTTTCTCAGTGGTTTCCTTTATTTTGATGATTTCAACAATTCGTTCAGTGGATGAATAGTTTAGGGTCTCAGTACTCATTAGTTTTTCTTAGTAAATCTGTTTAAGCATTGATTTTACAGTTTGAAACTGATTCTTCGAGGTAACATTTAGATTGAAATATTTGAAATGAACGCATATGGGCTAGGACTCATAAGCATGTGAAAGAATTGGTCATTAGAGTTGGGTTGGGGGAGATGAACGTGAGGATAGACTAGAGCTAGGCAATTATATCCAACTACAGTCCTTGTGTGATTAGTCTATCATGGATGGATTTCGAGTAACTCGTTCCACCTGGTTATTTCAAATCTTCTAAAACAAGGCTCTGAATTTCATCCATAGTCTGCTTGAAACTCGAGAAAACTGCAATTCTTATTCATTGACTAGTATTCTGTTTATCTTAATGATTCAGACGTTAACATGAGATTGTAGTGGAAGCATTTATTGCTCAATGGCAGACAAACCCGAGAATTTTTGTACAGATATTACATGACAGTTTTTAGACAACATGATCATAAATTTTTGATACATTCATCTGCACAGATAGTTACATATACATTTTTTATGCATGCACGCACGCACCCTCACAATGCTATTATGTATGCTTACTTTCATTATTTTTACTACAATTTTGATTTGTCTTTAAAGGTAAGGTTCATATATGGCTTGTCCAATCCTTATCTAACTTATGCCATTCTTTTTTCTGCCGCATGTATGATTTTATTTTAGTCCTCGAGCCTAGGACTAAAGATGTCCAATGGTACTTCTTGTCTTGTAAAGACTTTGTCTTCTTAATGTCAAGAGTTCAAATCCCCCTCCCCATTCCCATTCCCCTCTCCCTCCCCCAAAAAAACATATTTGAAAAAAAAAAAAAAAAAAAGATGTCCAACTGCAGGATAATGGACACCAGTTTTCTTGAATAGTGCCCATGCTACTTAGATGAGGGGGACATAGTTTCTTTTTCTAGATAAAAAGTTTCAGCAGATTTAGATACTTTCAATTGTCAGTAGATCATTTAATTCCTAGAATATATCTTTATTCATTTTCATTTGAAGACATGAGGTGTTTGTTGGACAACCAATTGGTTTGAGACCGAAATCCTACTCTTGGCTTTGTTCAACATGAGGACTTCTTACAGTCTTAATTGGATTGTAAGACACCTTCTTGTTGATGCATTTGAGTGGATTGTTGATGCGAGAAGTTCCCTGGATTGCTTTGGCTGTTGTATGGATGCTATATACGCTTCTCGCTTCTCGTCCCTCTTCAATCTGCTGTGATTCTCCTAAAATTAACCTATGGAAATTTTTTGGTATTTTATTTTTTTCAGCATTGTCTAATTGTTGCATCAACTAGGGTATGCAAAATTGATGTGATTGACGCCTTCTTCTCTTTCTTTATGAATGAAGGGAATTCTTTATTCCATATTATATTCTCCTTACCCTAATAGTTGTTGAATGGCGTGTAATTTTCTTGAGCTCGATTTTTGTGTTTCATGTATTGTCAAGGTGTTTAATTTTATTTCGCTCTTGTTTTTCATTATATGCTGTTAGTTGTTGTTGCCATGTGCTTATATGTCGGATGAATAGGTTTATCCTGAAGGAACGCACCTGATGATCCCGTGGTTTGAAAGACCAATCATATATGATGTTCGTGCACGACCCCATCTGGTGGAGAGCACTTCGGGTAGTCGTGATCTCCAGATGGTGAAAACTCTCTCTCTCTCTTCCCCCCCCCCCCCCCCTTTTCTTTTTTTACATGTGTGTGGGTGTAAACTGCAATTTTCTATTTATTTCAACATATTTAGAGCTGTGGTTGCAACATTCATATTTAATAGGCACTATATTATCGTTATTTGTTGGTTTTTTTTTTTATAGCATACTTAAGAGTTACATCCTTCGTTTTTAGTTTTAAAGAAGGGCTTATTTAACATTTTCGGTTAGAGCTACAAATTGACTTCATGTTTGATAAATGTCAAAATTAATAAATTGGTGCAATATTGTTGGTAGTTCATTTACCTAAATATGCCGGTTGTTCATCGGACAATCTCTTTCTTGACTCGGTAGATAAGGCTTACAAAAAGGTATTTTAAATGTTGGAAAACACTAGTTAAGAATAGTAAGAATTAAGTGGTGCTGTGCACATCTTTATAGACATTCTTAATCTAGTAATCCATTCACAATTCCGCGTGTTCACAACCTGTATTTATGGGATTTCTTCATTGTTTCCGGACTACTTGAAAGCTTCTTGCTTTTGACTTAATTATCAAAGGAGAAAAGGGGAAGAAAGGGGAGTTATCTTCTGTTTGAGTCACCAGATGTATGTTTTGAGATATTTAGGAAAATCTTGTAGCTCGAGATGTTTTAAATTGCAAATGTCATTTTGAGCTTTTTGAGATCTAATTCCAAGCTTTAGGTTCTTGCTGTTTTGCTATTATTATTATTTTTTTTTCATAAAGATTAAGTTTTCTGATGTAACTGCATTTTGTCAAAGTTTTGAGTTTTTCTGACAATAATAATTCATGTGCTGAAGAAAGATAAGTACAAAAAATGAAATGTGGTGTCTTTATGGTTTTGTGAAGTCATTGATTTGGAGTCAATCCCTATCCAGCATTATGTTTTCTTCACATTTTTGAAGATCTGCTCTAAGACTAGTTTTGTCCTACTTTGGGTACACCTTAATGAAAGTCCCTCGTATTAATACCTTGTCCAGTATTTCAACCATGATCATCAATGGCTGAAATTTCATACCAGAGTATATATGTGATTGATCCAGTGCTTGACTTTATATTTTCGTATGTTAAGTTATTGTCCGACTTGCAATATAAAATTTTATTTCCTTGCGTTGCCAACAAATGTTGTGGTACACAATCTTTTTAATTTTTTAGTTGTTTTGAATAATTTCCTTCTTCCCCTTGTGCCAATGTCTCTAGGAGTCTTATAGTTTAAATGGACATAAAAGATTTAATTGCATATGATGTATGATTGATTGCCATTGTCTAGGTAGTTTGTTTTGTTATGGTTGTTAGAGGTTGAAGTGGAGACAACGTTCTTTCTGATCTCATAATTTTTCTCTCAGAATGCATGATTTTTGTAATTTTGAGTCGAGGCTTTCTGAACATGGCTGTTGATTTTGTTGTTCAGGTAAAAATTGGTCTTCGAGTTCTTACTCGTCCTGTACCAGACCAATTACCTACAATTTATCGGACTCTTGGTGAGAACTATAATGAAAGAGTCCTGCCTTCAATTATTCATGAGACTTTGAAAGCTGTGGTTGCACAGTACAATGCAAGCCAGCTCATTACTCAGAGAGAGGTGCGTGGTAGGCCTTTTTAGTTGATTGTTTACTTTGAAAATTAAAATTTTGAAGTTCTATGCAGCAACATTGCATGTATTAGGATCCATGTTGCAAGTTTGTGTTATTAGTACCTGTTGGCAACCTTATTAGTTAAAAATTAAGCTCATGGCGTGAGAGTTGTTTTATTGTCAGAATTATTTTGGTATTTTTTATTACAAGTGGCTCAATTCATCCTTGTTATATTTTGGCTTCTTGGTATATTTTGTTCTACAAGGTTGAGTAATCAGAATGAAATTAGTACTGGTAACCAAGTTTTTTTCTAACGTGCTTCTGTGCAGAATGTTAGTAGGGAAATACGGAAAATACTGACAGAAAGGGCAGCCAACTTCAACATTGCGCTCGATGATGTGTCCATTACTAGCCTGACTTTTGGGAAGGAGTTTACAGCTGCAATTGAAGCTAAGCAGGTGGCTGCACAAGAAGCTGAGAGGGCCAAGTTTGTTGTGGAAAAGGCTGAGCAAGACAAGCGAAGCGCTGTAATCAGGGCACAGGTGAGAGAAATTATCAATCCTCAAGCTTGGATCCTGATTGGTTTTTTAATTCAACTTTCTGCTTTACTCTTTTTAAGTGAGGAAAATTGTTTTACTGCTCTTGTGGAAATGATAGTATTTCTGATTGTCTGGCATACTGTTGATGTATTCCTATACTGACACATTAGTATCACCCGATGGTTTCACCTTAGTGAAAGCTTAAACATATGAATACATATTTTGGGGGTTAAGGCAGTCATGATTTATGGGTGAAGTTTGTTCTTTTCCTTTTCACTTTAGTGAAAAGATCATCTTCTGCATGAAGTGGGGTTTTTTTTTTTCCTTGTCAATTTCTTGTTTCTGAATTTTCATATATAGAGCAGTTAGATTCATTCAGTTAAGACATCACCCTCTCTCTTTGGTATCAGGGTGAGGCTAAGAGTGCCCAGCTGATCGGCCAAGCTATTGCCAACAACCCAGCATTTATCACACTCAGGAAAATTGAAGCAGCGAGAGAAATTGCACACACAATCTCAAAAGCAGCCAACAAGGTGTTCTTGAGTTCAGATGATCTGCTGCTAAAACTTCAGGATATGGATTTAACAGGCACCGGTGTGAAGAAATAAACACCTAAAGCCTAAACTTTTGTTACTTTCCCGTTCAGTCTTGCTTCCTACTTTTGTTAAGATGCGGGAATATCTCATCAAAGTCCGCACACTGACATGTGAAATGGTATTCTGTTTCTGGACCCTATCACAGTAGGAAATTTACTTAGCTCGAGATATAACTATCCATTGGGAATTAATCTCCTCTTGAAGTCTTGAAATTGTTGATTGAAATCTACAATCATTTTGACATATTCTATGCTATCCTTGAGTTTTTTTTTTCACTTGAATACTCGCAGTGTGTTACTGGATGAGAAACTAGTTTTGCCGTTTATGATTATTTGGATGAGGGCTCTAGGCAGTTTGATTCTTCTTTTATTGGCAGCAGATGATGCCAGATTGATCCTGTAATGCCGGCCATGAGATGGATGTGCGGCTCCTTTCTTTATTGGTCATTTGGTTTGCAAATGATTGAGTAAATTACATTTGACAGGTTTATCTAGGTTTATATGCATTCTAAAAATGCATTTAGCACAAATGCTCTATAAGTTATTAACTGAATTATAAGGTTGTTCAGCCTAATATCTGTTAAGGTTTATGTTTGGCTTGTTTAACTTCAAGCCGATATTCAACAATTCTTATTGAGCTAATCTTGAGTAGCTCGACTTTTTAGTCTTAAGATGTTAATTAGTTCATCGAGACATATTTGAGCCGAACTCAAACAAATTGACGAATTTACTAATTAGTTCAAGCTTAACTTGTTTATTATATGTGCTGTTCTCATGTCAAATTTTAGTAGACTGTTTCGTGACCTTCCTTAGCAGTTTCTATCACTGGCTATTGGTGATACAAAGGCAGAAAGCATTGTTGGTTGACCATGATCTTAATTAGGGGGCCTTGGGGTCAATTTCAAGAAAGAATGTCTAAATGGCTGAATTAGCAAGGATAACTATCCTGCCTGATATGCTTAGTATTTATAAATAGAGTAGTTACAATGTGATAAGTATTAATTGTTACAACAGAAAGATAAGATAAGATATACAACTATTCAAATATAATTGAACTGTAACAGACTCTATCGACAACTGCCATCCTTTGACACAGGATCCTCTGTTGAGATATTGTTGAGAGTTGGAACTGATCTGATATTCTTAACATCCCCTGTCACTAATGGGAGATTCAGTGACCATTAGTTTGTCTTTGAGCAACAAGAATCTTGAAGAAGTGAATCCCTTTGTAAAGACATCTGCTATCTGATCAGCAGTGGTTATGTATTGAGGAATGATGTCTTTGTTAATCACTTTTTCTCTAATGAAATGATAATCAACCTCCACATGTTTAGTTCTAACATGAAAAATAGGATTGGAGGCTAGTGCTAATGCTCCATATTATCACACCACAGCTGTGGAGTAGACTCAATTGAGCACTGCAAGTCTTTGAAAAGCATTATTAACCAATATAACTCAGCTGTTGGAAGGCCATAGCTCTATACTCTGCTTCTGTGTTGGATCTGGATACAACCGGTTGTTTCTTTGCTTGCCATGAGATCAAACAATTGCCTAGAAACACTCCATAGCCACTGGTTGATCTGCTGTCTAGATGATCTCCAGCCCAGTCACTATCACAATATGCTGCCAATTGCAGTGGTCCTAATTTGAAAAATAAGCCATGATCAATAGTGCCCTTTAGATACCTTAGTACCCTTTTTGCTGCTGTAAAATGGACAGTGGTAGGACAATGTAAAAACTGACATAGTTGATTTACTGAATAGAAGATATCAGGCCTTGTAAGTGTGCAATATTGTAGGGAACCAACAATATGTCTGTAAATGGTGGGATTAGGTAAAGGATCACCCTCAAGTTTGCTTAACTTTTGTCCAGAAACACAAGGATCTGAATAAGGCTTGGCTCCAAGCATATTGGTACCATCTAGCAGACCGTAGATGTATTTAGCTTGATTGAGATGCATCCCTGAAGAGGTTCTGTGTACATGGATGCCTAGAAAGTAACTCAAGTCACCCAAGTCCTTCATTTTGAATTTTTTTTGCAAACTTTGAATTAGCCCCATAATACTAGAGCTGTGAGAACCAGTCACTAGTATATCATCAACATAGATGAGCACATAAGTATGTACTGGACCGTTGTGATATATAAATAAAGAAGTGTCCAATAGAGAACCTGTAAAGCCAAGACCTTGTAGGGTTTGAGTAAGTCGAGTATACGATGCCCTTGGGGCTTGCTTAAGACCATAGAGAGTCTTATGCAACCTGCATACATGATTAGGAAATGCTCTATCCACAAAACCTTAAGGTTCCATAAAAACTTCCTCATTGAGAAAACCATGAAGAAAAGCATTGGATACATCCGCTTGTTTGTTAGGCCAGTCAAAGTGTAGTGCAATAGCTAGAAGTAATCAAATGGTGGCCGGTTTTATTACTGGACTAAATGTTTCTGTATAGTCAATACCATCTCTATGTTCAAACCCTTTTGCAACTAATTTGGCCTTATATCTATCAATGGTTCCATCTGGTTTTTGCTTTAACTTGTACACCCATTTTTTATGGATAACATTTCGGTCTTTGGGTCTCAGGCAAAGGCTCCATGTCTGGTTATCCAGCGAAGCCTGGTATTCACTTTGCATTGCAGAGAACCAATCAGGATTAGATATAGCTTTAGAAAATGATTTGGGTTCACATGGCAGAAAACTGGTATGTAAGGCTTTAACAGGATGATTAGTGGACTTGTTGGAGAGATACAAATGATAGTCAGGGAATTGTTTGGGTTTGGAATTTCCTGTCATGGATCTATTGATGATCTGTGCAGGAGAGAATTCAGGTAAAGAAACAGAGGTTGGAGTGGGAGGGGCGACTATTTCTGAGTCATAAGTAAGGAGTTGTGCAGGAGAGGATGCATGTAAAGGATCTGAGGTTTGATTAGAAGTGGAGGCTATCTCAAAATCAACTGAATTGACTGCTGGTGTGGTTTCAGTATTTGAGGTGGAATTGGTGATAGGGTTAGTCTCAACTCTGAGTTGATTGGAGGGAATGTGATTGCTTGTGAGCATATTCTGAGATGAATGCAGAGGAATCGTGGGAGAATTCAGTGAATAAAAGTGAGAAGGTAAGAGGATAGTACCTGATGGAGAGGATTGTCCTCGAGCACGGTAGAGAGTGTAGCCTTCCTCCTGTGCAGGAAATAAGTTCTCACCAAAGACTACATGTCTTGACATGTAAATTTTATTAGTTTGCAAATCTAGACATTTATAGCCTTTCTGATTGGAACCATAGCCTAAGAAGACACATTTTTTGCTTCTGAATTCCAGCTTGTGTTTGGTGTATGGTCTGAGAAGAGGATAGCATGCACAACCAAAAGTTTTTAGAAGGGAGAAGTTTGGTTCTTTATTAAATAACTTGGTAAGAGGTATCTCAAATTGCAGCACAGATAAAGGAAGTCTATTGATTGAGTGAACTGCTGTATGAAACGCTTCTACCCAATACGTGGATGGAAGATGAGATTGGGTTAAAAGAGTTAGACTAGTTTCACACACATGCCTGCGTTTCCTCTCAACAATCCCATTTTGTTGAGATGTATGAGGACAGGTAAATCGATGATAGATCCCACTCAGTCAGAAATTTGGTGAATAAATTTGAAGTACATTCACCCCCACCATTACATTCACCCCCACCATTTGTTTGGAATTGCTTAATTTTGCAAGAGAGTTGGTTTTCAATGATGCATTTACACTTGACAAAACAATCAAACAGATCAGATTTGTACTTTAGAGGAAATAACCAAGAATATCTTGAAAAATTGTCAGTAAAGATAACATAATACTTGAATCCGTTTATTGATAAAACTGGTGAGGTTCATACATCACGATGAATCAACTCTAAAGGCCTAGAAGACACACGGTCAGACTTATTAAAAGGTAGATGTTTGCTCTTTCCTAATTGACAGGGCATACATAGCTCTGAGTGGGATTTATTGGATGACACATGTAGCTGGTAGTTTTTAAGAACTCGATGTAGAGTTTGAGAATTAGGATGGCCTAATCTTTTGTGCCAGATATCTGTTGATGCCTTGATTCCAATCAGTGCTACAGATGCCCTTTTATTGGTGACAAACTTATTGAGATGCACATGATATAAGCTGCCTTCACTGGGTCCCTGTAGGAGGATTGCCCAATTCAAGTTGTCCTTCACCAAGAAATAGGAATCAGTTAGTTTGAAGTAGCAATTGTTGTCTTGACAGAATTTTTGGATAGACAACAGATTATTGGAAACATTGGGACAATGCAAAATATCATTTAGATGTAAATCAGAGTTGGGAAGAGGATAGATAGCGGAACCAGTGGGTGCAATATTCAAACCATTACTATTTCCTACAGCTACAGTCTCAGTACCCTGATATGGTTGCTGCAATGCAAGGTTTTCCAAGTCTGCTATGATATGATTTGTAGCCCCACTATCTGCCAGCCATGTTTCATCCTCATGAAAAAGATTGGACTGAGCCACCATTGCTGCAAGTTCTTTATGTGGGTGTTTGCCTTGGTATGCATAGTCCATCCCATGAAAACAGTCCAAGGCTTGATGGTTGGTCCTGCCACAGATTTGACAAGGAGGCTTATTGGTAGCAAACTGATTTGAGGATGATTTACCTTGATGTGTATTTCTGGCTGTAGGGAATGGTTTCTTCTGTGCAAGGTTTTTTCCAAAGTTGGGTTTCTGAGATGGCCCATACTTGGGTTTCCTGTTCTGTTCAGGTCCTTTATTAGAGTGTCCTTTATTAGAGTATAGAGCAAAGGCACTTGACTCAATTGTTGGTGTTTGTGCTGCCAGTAGTTGTTCATAACTGAGTAGCTCAAATTGAAACTCTTCAAATGTCATAGTAGCATCCTTTGTAGCAAAGGAATAAAAAGTGACAAAAGAATTATATTGAGGGTTGAGACCACCCACAATCTAAGAAATTAGCTCTTCATCACTTACTGGTTTGCCTACAAGGGCAAGTTGATCAGCTATACTCTTAGAGTAGTGAATGAAAATCGCTGCAGGTACGTGATTCCTGTCTTGTGGTTTGAAGCTGTCGCATTAAATTATTGACTCTAGATCTTGAAGGTGAAGCATTCCTAGAGGTGTTTAAGTCATACACTGTTGGGACAATTTTATCAGACAGTGCAGCTATAAACCAACTTAAAATAAATTGGTCTTTCTTCTCCCAAGTCTCGTATGTAGGATTGGGATTCATTTTGTCTGGTTGACTAGGATCAGCAATGAGTTTAGGAGGAGTAGGTTTTGAGCCATCAACAATGCCCAGAAGCCCATTTGTCCTCAAGATGGGGGTAAATTGACACAC